CTGGCAGAACTTTATGGAGTTATTCTTGGGTGTTTGCAGGGCCACATGAACATAAATGGGCAGATGATAAAACTGGGGGGAAGTGCTGTAGGATGCATTCAACCCAGCTGAGCAGGTTGTAGTTCAGCGTGGGTGGCTGTTAAACCCAAGGTCTGAGAAAGCTGGAGCTGACAACGAGGAGAAAGTAGAAGCTCAGAAGATTAGAAGTTCTGTGGAGCTGTTCTGAAGACAGGAAGCCTGACACTGCTCTCAGAGGGCAACCATGCCCTCAGGACTGGAGTCTTCTGAGCTTTTTGCTCAGCAGCTACATTCCCTGTGCTGACATGTATCACATTCAACTGGGGCTCCATAAATAGTTTAGAAGTGAGAATCTTTTCTACTGTGGCAACAGTGTAAGGGCAGTGTTTCATTTTCTCCATTAAGACGTAGGGAGGGACTTCTGCAGAGGTCAGTTGGTTAAGAGTCCGCCTTCTAATGCAGGGGATGTGAGTTCGATCCCTGATTGGGGAACTAAGATCCCACATGCCTCAGGGCAACCAAGCCTGCACGCTGGCAAGTTGCAACTTGAGAACCCACACACTGCAGTGAAGAGTGCAGCCAAAAAAAAAGAGAAAAGGCTAAGGGAAACAACGAATTTCTTTAGAGAGCCCATCTAGGAAATTCATATGCACTAGGTCAGTGCACAGATTTACCAGGTTCCCTTGGAGTGAATGAGTCCTCAGTCTGCAAAACCAGGTTATAAACTAATTGAAGGTGTTTTATTTGCTTGTAAAGAATCTGTTCCTCCCACTGGAGGTGGAGGAGATTAAGCGTGGAAGTGTAGGTATGAAGAATCTCTGCACGTTGGCAATGCCACGTGAGCCTCATCCAGAGGAAAGGATACCGCAGCCACTGAGAGCTAGGCGTAGTGGGTTTCTCTCTCTGCTCTGGAGATGGCTGCATCAGGAAACCAAAGCCTGCTGGCATTAGCAGTTAAGTGGTCAACCCCTCTCATGATCTGCTTGATACTCAGCAGTATCAAGTTCACATCAGTAAACTTGACACTTTGGTTTCGCTTGTAGCTTGCCCAGACCCTTGCTATTCAAAGCGTAGTCCATGGACCAGCTGCACGGGCATCACCTGGAAGCTTGTTAGAAATGCAGACTCTCATGCCCCACCCCGCCCAGCCCTGTGTGTTGGGTTTGCCTGACAGTGTAGCACTCTTCCTCTGTATCACTCTCATGGATATTTAGTTAGCATGAGTCATTATCTGTGGATTTGATTAACCTCAAGATACCAGCAAGTAGTTTGCTGAGCCCATCAGGCTGAGGGCTGACCCCGGGCAGAGCTGAATTCACCAAGGGAGTGGCACTGAATGGGTGGCCAATTGGCCTTCTTCAGGTGAAGACCTCCCTTTGTGTTATGCACTGCCTTTGAATTTCAGCACCGACACCTGCTACCCGTTGCCTCAGATAACTGTATGGTGTGTACACTGCAATGAGCTTGCCTCCTTTCCCTCTCGTGAGCATATTTCTCCCATCCACTTGGACTGCAGCAGTTTCTGAGAGTCTTTGCAGTAGTGATGAAGGGAGCCTTACCTGTAGGGCACATGTGTCAGTAGATTATCATTATCATTTTAAAATGAACCGAAGTTCACCCTTTATTCTGACTTCCTTAGTTTCTACCCTATGCCCTCTTTTTCTGCTCCAAGATCTCATGGACGAAAACCACATACAATTTACTTGTCATCGTTTCTTGGGCTCCTCTTGGCTGTGTTTCTCAGACGTTCCTTGCTTTTGAGGAGTATTGTCAGATAGAGGCTAAACATATCTGATCATACACACTTAATCCCTCAACTGGGATTTAGGATTTCTCTGATGCTCTTCTTAGCGATGAGGCTGGGGTTGTGGGTTTTCAGGAGGATGACCACAGAAATAAAGTGTCATTGTGTCAAGGGTACACACTGTCAATATGACTTGAAACCACTGTTGATGTTCGCTTTGATCACCTGACTGAGTTGGTGTTTGTCAGATTTATTCACTTTCTTTTTGCCCAGAGCACCGTGAGGTGTGTTGAATCATTGTTCTCTCACCAGGGATCGGGCCTGTGCCCCCTGCACTGGAAGCTTGGAGTCTTAACCTTTGGAAGTCCCAGCAGTGATTTCTTGACATCCCACATGTCTAACATTCTACTAATCCTCTAGTCCTGCCAATTCTGTGTCTTATGTAATGTAAGAAATGCTTACTTTTCTCCAGGCTCCTTGCTACTACCACCAGCATCATTTCTCACCTGGGCTACTGAAACATATTCTTACCGAGAAGCACCTGCATTAAATTTTGCTTCTGTTCAGTCTATTTCTATGCTACAGCCAGGGTGATAGTAAAAAAATAAATTTCTGCTAATGTCAAGTTGCTTTAAAAAGCTTCCCATGGTCTTTTAGTTTAACTCTTAAACTTACAGATTTTTTTTCCATTGTCTGGTCTACCTCTTCAACCTAATCTCAGAGGAATCTTTTTCACCTTTTTTATAATCCAGCCCTATTGAATTCTGTAATTCCTTCAAATACACCATGCTTTCCCTTCACCATGAAGGAATCTATGGTAGATTAAAAAGAATTTTAAAATTAAACCATACTTAGATTCTCTTCTTATGTGCTCAGTAGCTTCAGTCATGTCTGACTTTTTGTGACTCCATGGACCATAGACCACCAGGCTCCTCTGTCCATGGAAATTTCCAAGCAAGAATACTGGAGTGGGTTGCTATGCCCTTCTCCAGGAGATCTTCCTGACCCAGGGATCAAACCTATATCTCCTGCATTGCAGATGGATTCTTTACCTGCTGAGCGATCAGGGAGGCTCTACTTTTTGGACTTCCTAGATGGTGCGGTGGTAAAGAATCCACCTGCCAATGCAGAAGATGCAAAAGATGTGGGTTCAATCCCTGGGTTAGGAAGATCCCGTGGAGAAGGAAATGGCAACCCACTCCAGTATTCTTGCCTGGAAATTCCCATGGACAGAGGAGCCTGGTGGGCTACAGTCCATGGGGTCACAGAGTTGGATATGACCAAGCAACTGAGCACACAAACCATACTTTGCATATACTAGAGTAACTCAGTAAAGAAACCTGGGTTGACAGGAATTCCTGGTGGTCCAGTGTTTAGGACAGGACAGAGGGCTCAGGTTTGGTCCCTGGTTGGGGAACTAAGATCCACATGCTGCTTGGTGGGCCAAAAATAGAAAAGATACTTGGGTTGGATTGAGTTATTGTGTCAAGTAAAGAATTTAAGAAAAGTATCTTTCTGTGTCTGTAATTCTGATTTTTTTATATAACCCTCCTATCTCCATATCCATGGCCATACCGCTACTGCCATCCTGACTGCTGCTCCAATGCATTCCACTAGAAGTTCTCATTTAGTCTGTGCTGTCCACAGGCTCTATGTATGTTTTTCTGATTTTCGCAAAAACTGTGCCTGACAGTTATCTGAGACCAAGCCTCAGAGAGGCTAGGAAACTTCCTCTAGATGAGACACCTAATATTCAGTGGAGCTAAGATTTGAATTCAGCATGGACAGATTCAAAAGTCTGTTTTTTTCATGGTGTGATGATTTACTTTATGGTAAGGTGGTTTAACCAAGGTGTTTCTGATTTCAAATAACTGAAATAAATTTGGGCTAGCCTTAACAGAAAGGGAATTTTTTTTTTTTTTAAATAAGGACAAGGCGTGTCTTAAGGAACTCAAAAGATAGGAATGCAGCCAGCTTCTGGAAGAAACTGGATCTAAGAACTGGAAAATCATCATTTTCTTTCTCTGGCTCTTTTCTTACCTCCTCTCTTGCACACCTGCTTTATTGTTTCCTTTCTAGTTTGTTCTGTTGTTCATATACATGATGGAATATGGCTACCATACAGTTTCAGCCAAGCAGAGATGTCTGTCCCTAAATCCACATGCCACATTCTTGATAGAGAAAATCTGATTGGCTCTGCTTCAGACATCCATCCATTCTGGGACCAATCAGCTTTTAGCTGAAGGAGGCAGAATTACATCATCCAAACATGGCTGCCATGGGGTTTGGAGACACCGACTCCTTTGCTGGTAGGAATGTCTGACTCTGGTCTTTTCTCACTCACACCATTTGACTACAACTGATTCTGGGTACTCTAATTGCTACAGGGAGAAGTCTAAGAGTTCCCCTTCAGCTTCGGCCCATGATTATAGCTCTTCGAAGAGAAATTAGGAGTAGAGTAGGCTCGGCCAGTATATTGTCGTATCAGTGATCATCATCCTGTTTTGAGGTACATCATCATTGTCCCCTCAATCTTGTTCTTTACGGCTCAATTGGCTGTACACAGACAGATGCACACACACACACACTCACACACACACACTCACTCACACACACACACACACACTCACACTCACACACACACACACACTCACACACACACACTCACACACACACACTCACACTCTCACACTGGAGTATGTTCACAGTTTCTGCTCAGAAGAAACTACATGCCTCCTTGGAACTCAATTTCTGCTTTAAGCTGCAGGGGCAACAATGACACTGACTCTTTGCCAGTGTAAAGTGAATAAAACTATCTTCCAACCTATTGTCTTTACTGTCTCTTTATGATAATGCTGAGTGTCCTTTCCTCTGTAGTCACTTCTTATCAAGAAGTGAGTTCCATTTCTCTTGCTGAGCACCGTGAGAAGAATAAATTCACCTGGGACTCTTAGGGCACCACTGGTCACCGACTCCGTTCTCATTTGGAGCAGCTTCTAAGGAAAGAGGTCAAACCTCAGCACCCAGTTATGCACCTGTATATGTTCTATATATTCTTCTGTAGCTGTAAAGAACAACTCAGGGGGGAAACATTTATTGTTACATTTTTTTTTTTTGTAGGTGGCCTAAACTTATGAATATTAAGTGTTCCAGAACTTTCTTTGCAGATCAGTGGTTTAGAATTTGGAACTCACTTTACTATGGAAACAATATTGCACTTGCTAGTTTAGGCCTCTAGCCAAACTATAAATGATCATTTGGTCTACAACACAGCTGAAATGGTTTCCTTGCCTTTCAAGTGAGAGTCTGGCCTCTTCTGTGTCTAAAGCTCTGAAATCACTAGCTCCTGAATACCAGTCCCCCTGCATTTCTCTAGTTTGATTCTCTGTGGACCTCCCTTTTTTTTTTCTCACTCTAAAGAAGGAAGGGAGAAACTAAGGAGGTGTACAGGTGAACAGTAGGTGTGGGCTCTAGGTATTGAAGGATGCCAGGGGTACTAGATGGCACAAAAGAAAGGGGAGGGTGGAAATTAGTGAGTTTGGTGTCCTTTTTGACTCTCATAAGAAAGAATGGAAAGTAGGGGGTGGTGGTGGAGGAGTAGAAGGAGAAGGATAACCGCAACATTTGATAAATAGGTATTGTCGTTGGTCAGTGCCTGTGTGTAAAATATTAACTATTTTTTGTCATATGCAGTTGAGTTGTCCTTTGCCTTCAATTAGCCTGCAGTAAGTTAATAACGAATTTTACGGTATTCTCCATTGGTTAGCTGAATTCCTGAACCCCTCCTCCCTGGAATGAAGCAATGTGATTGCAGAGAAGTCCAGCCAGGTAGCAGAAGGCATGTGCTGGCCTCTAATGGCACAGCCATGTTAGATCACCCCTGTGTCTTCATGGCGTTCCTGCATACATGCCTTTAACAGATGATTTCATTCTCTTTTTTGGCCTGGACCCAGACAACTTTACATTCTCAGCAAAACAGATGGACAACAAGGGTGAAACAGGATCTTGTACTAAAATAGTCTTTTGAGTCATCCTCTTTGACGGTTCACTCTTCCAGGAAACTTGCCCCTTCCTTCTTGCAGAACGCTACTGCTGAGAAGTAATGCACTCAGTTTCTGAACTTTCTTTGCAGTGTACGTTTTCTATTTTTCTTCTTGGTCGAGATGGAGCTTTTGCTAAACTAGAAGTATTGTCTAATTTGCTTTGGCATAACACCTGGATTTTTGCCCGAGGTAAAGATTTAAAAATAGAATTAAACATTTTATGTCAACCTTCCATTTTTGCCCTCTTTCCAAAAAAGATTCCAATTTGAGAACAAGGGGAGCTTGATTTCACATACAAGTTTATTTTGGGAAGAAAGGGTGCTCCAGCGAAGATCACTTGATGAGGTTATTAGGTTCTAGTCCATATTGTGACAGTAACTACTTCTTGGACCCCAGGAGAGTCCACTCATTTTTCATTGCTCAGTTTTCTCATCTGTAAAAGGGGAATGATACCATTTCAGCTGAAAGGTGGTTGTGTGTATTCAATGAGAGGATATTTGTGAAGGCACTCAGATGAAGTCACATTGCTATAATAACCTAGGTTTTGACTAGTTCTTAGAGGTTAGAACTATCTTCCTCTATAATGAAATAGTTTATAATATTTTGTAGCAAGGATTCATTTGTTTAAAGATTTATTTGTTCTAAACCTAGGATATTGTGCTCAATGCCTTTTATTCAGTCCTTGCAGAAAAGAGGAAGTAATGTACACGCCATTGTCATTTCATCTTCTGTTTGAGTTTCTGTTCATTCATTCATTCATTCTGAGATATAATTGACATATCACATATTGGTTGCAGGTGGACAACATGATAATTTAAAATTTTTTTAATTGGAGTATAGTTGACCATTTGGTCTTTCTTGAATTCAGTGTGAAATCAAGGATAGCACGATTCAGGGCATGATGTGGCTCACAACGTCTCTGCTTCTTTGGGGTATTTATTGCTACTATATTTTCTGATAATAATCAGGCATAAGCTGATGTCAAAGGAACATTTGGAGCCACCTGAACTATTAAATTGAAACAGTCAGCATGCCACCCAAGTCTACCGTGTTCTTTTGAGGATGATGGTATATGATTTCTGCTTCCTCATTTCCATTTTGGTAGCTAGAGGTAAGTACTGCAGGGGCTATGTTGTCTAAGATCGTATAGTAGTATGTATAAAAACTGCAGGTTAAAAAGGTTGGGAGATTTTTTTTAACTTAGACCAGTCATTACACTGGTCACTCTGAAAAGTTTTGCCTCTGTTGGTCAAAGATCATACAGTTTATTGGATTGATGATTCTCCAAACCGAGGAGTGTGTGCATGCATTAGGTCATGGAAAGAAAAAAGATTCTTGACAAGGGCCCCCTAATCCCAGTAGAATGGTCTAGGAGCCTTGCACCCATGTTTTTACCATTTGTCTTGTCTCATTCTCATCCTGACAAGGAAAGGTGAGTGAGTCTCCTCTGCTTACCCCATTTCTCTGTTTGCTACGTTAACGTCTCACATGATGGAACGGTTTCTTTATTCATTAATGCCTATCAGAGCAATTATATACACCCTTTGATTGACATATGAACACTACTATGTACAGAACAGATAACTAATGAGAACTTACTGTATAGCACAGGGAATTCTATTCAATGATCTGTGATCTGTGAGGACCTGGATGAGAAGGAAATATAAAAAAGAGTTGATATGTGTATATATACAGGGGATGTAGCTCAGTGCTAGAGCGCATGCTTTGCAGGTATGAGGTCCCAGGTTCAATCCTTGGCATCTCCACATTGTTCCGTTTTGGCTTCTCTGGTGCCTCAGAGAGTAAAAAATCTGCCTGCAGTGCAGGAGACCTGGGTTCGATCCCTGGGTTGGAAAGATCCCCTGGAGAAGGGAATGGCAACCCACTCCATTATTCTTGCCTGGAGACGCCCATGGACAGAGGAGCCTGGTGGGCTACAGTTCATGGGGTCGCAAAGAGTCAGACACGATTGAAGTGACTTAGCACGCACACATATAACTGATCCACTTTGCTGTACAATTGAAACTCACACAACATCGTAAAGCAACTGTACTCTAATTAAATACTTTTGTTTTTAGATAAAAATTTGGAAGTTTTAACATATCACTAATAAGCCCTTTTGAGTTTAAGAAAGCCCTGGATATTAACAACAATTAGGAGTAAAATTAGGGTTGACTTTCTATGACTATATTTTGCTTTTATAATAGCTTGAACAAGTTTTGTAAGCAAGTCATTTTCGGTTTATTAATCAAATGCCTCTGCTGGAAATCCTTGGCATCTCCACATTGTTCCGTTTTGGCTTCTCTGGTGCCTCAGAGAGTAAAAAATCTGCCTGCAGTGCAGGAGACCTGGGTTCGATCCCTGGGTTGGAAAGATCCCCTGGAGAAGGGAATGGCAACCCACTCCATTATTCTTGCCTGGAGACGCCCATGGACAGAGGAGCCTGGTGGGCTACAGTTCATGGGGTCGCAAAGAGTCAGACACGATTGAAGTGACTTAGCACGCACACATATAACTGATCCACTTTGCTGTACAATTGAAACTCACACAACATCGTAAAGCAACTGTACTCTAATTAAATACTTTTGTTTTTAGATAAAAATTTGAAAGTTTTAACATATCACTAATAAGCCCTTTTGAGTTTAAGAAAGCCCTGGATATTAACAACAATTAGGAGTAAAATTAGGGTTGACTTTCCATGACTATCTTTTGCTTTTATAATAGCTTGAACAAGTTTTGTAAGCAAGTCATTTTCGGTTTATTAATCAAATGCCTCTGCTGGAGCAATTTTCTGCCATCAACAAAGCATATCTGTTGTCCATCTTTCTACATGTGCTCATAGTGTCTTTTCCCCAGCCTCTGCCCTGCTGGATTCTCACACTTCTACCCACTCGGTTCCTCCTCGGCTACAGGGTGGGGCTCACAAGCTGCCTTCCTGGATCTGCCTGGCACTGCTCTCACCCGCATAGGTGTCTGTCTTTTCTTACACCACCTGAAGGCTTATTTACCTTTGTAGCCCCAGCACTTAATAAAGAACCTGGTCAATAATAGGAGATTAATAAATATTTACTGAATAAAAGAATGAGTGTTATAATAGGGTAAGATCCTTGTACTAACAGAGGAAGACCAGAGGAGGCCATCTATCCCGATGGGGAAGAAGGTAGATAGAGGGAGGGGGGTCCCAGAAAAGGTATATGTTTTGGTAAATGAGGAGTTCTTCATCAGGTGAAAGAGGTGGGGAAGAATTGCCTGGGCTTGGAAAATTCCGTGTGCCTGAAAATAGCATAGCATGGCTGGAATTTAGATGCAAAGTGAAATGGGCAGAAGATGAATCTAAAAGGGTAGGTAGGTTGCATGTTGCTTTGAACTTTGTGCCAATTTAAATTGTTTAGGTTATTAACCAGAATTACCTCTGTGATCCACTGGGTCAATCGGTTAATACCAGCTGGGATTAGATCTCATGAGGTCATTTGATTAGATGACTTATTATTTAATTAAGTTTTGCATAACAATTATTTGAAGATAAATGGATGGGCATACTGGTCCATGTTTAAGACAAAAGTTTGTTGAAATCACACACTGATATCTTAGAAGTTTTAAGGGACCCTTCTCAACTTAGAGGTAAAAATATTGGAGTCTTCAACTCTAAATGGACTATGCCATGAGAGAATTTTATAGCTGAATTTATGTTTTAATGAGTCTTTCCTGTATATTCATTACCAATCATTTAAAAATGCAGGTACATAAGATTATTTCCTGCAATAAGATTATTTTCTATAGTGATGACTTTTGTGAAGGTTCAAAGAGATAATGTATGCAAAATGCTTAGTACTAAGTACCTTGCCTGGTACACAGTAGATGCTCAATAATATAATCTATTCCTTAAACACACCAGGCCTGAGGGAGTTTTCACTTTACCTTTATGAACTTTCAGGAGAAACTTTTAATGCAACAGCCTGCCTGCAAGTGTATCTTTGCTGAAATATCAACTGGTTCTTTTGTAAAAGTTTGGAATTTCCTTGGTGTTTTTAAACAAGATTTCCTCTCTTAAATGTGCTCATTGTTTGTGTCTTAGATTGCCAAGATTTGATTTGAGTACAGAGTCTTCAAAGCATTGGTGGGACTAAATATTTTAGCAGATGCTTGCATTCGAAATACTTCTAACCCCTTTCATGTCTAGGTTTCAGTGAATCACACCGAGGCACTCTTGACGTGCAAGACAAATGTGTTTCTCTTGGATTTGACGGACAGAGGGTTTGCCTGATGCTTGTGAATGTTTACTAATGCAGAGGAGAAATTGAGATGCCAGGTTGGAAAATAAAAACTTGAATGAGGTGCTTGCTGGGCACTATTCAGAAGTATTGTATGTCTTTGGGGGGTTTTTTTTTGTTTGTTTTTGATTAAATTCCAAGCTGGTACAATCCATCTGCCTGTTAACAATAATTAATTGCCTTGTTTTCTACTTAGAGATGTAACAGTTCCAGATTTGCAAGTGAGAATTCTTTTGCAACACAAGCTATTGTTACTTCTGGGGGTTAGATTTTCGGTGAGCAGGGCAGGTTACCTAGTCACATCACCAAATAAGTCCTCTTTAAGGGAGCACTTCTTTGGAGACGTGCAATTTTCCAAACCCCAATGACTAGAAATAGAATTATTAAATGGGCCCAAAACAAAGTAAAACTATAAGAAATATCAAAAGTAGAATTTAAGACCACATTCCTTAATCATTAGCCAATTAAATTAGAAATTAATAATAAAAATATGATGCCCCCCAATCCACAGGGAAACGAAGAAACTCTCCCAAATAGACCTTTGATAAAAGAATAAAGAGAAAGCAAGAAAAAATTGCCCATATCCAAATTTTTAGGGCATAGCATATACCCAAAACTTCACTCAAAGGAAAACTTATTAAAGAACTGATAGAGTTTTAAAAGCTGGAATTAATGGAATGAAGAAAAAATTAGAGAAACAGGCTAAATAAGATTTAAAAAACTGGAAAAAAATATACACAGGAATGAGGAAACAGACACGACCACATAAAGCAGGAAGTTGGAGAAATTGTAAGAATTATACATGAAGATTACACACAAAACTCTATAGAAACAAATTGAAAATATTGAAGAAATGGACATTTTTATAAGTAAGATAAATGTTGAGATCAATGTTGACTCATGTAGAAATTTTAAACAGATAATCACTATAGAATTTCCAGTTTGTGCTGGTTTTGTTTCCCATTTGGCATTGGTTCTGGACTTTAAGGAAATATTATTTTTAAATGCACTCAAATAAGATGAGAGGATGAGATGGTTCGATAGCATCACCGACTCAATGCACATGAATTGGAACAAACTCCAGGAGATAGAGGACAGAAAAGTCTGATGTTTTTCAGTCCATGGGGTTTCAAAGAGTTGGACATGACTTAGCGACTGAACAACAACGAAATAAAACGAGGTAGAAGTCTTCCACCTTATAACTTCAGGATTTACTATGGTCTCCTTGTGTAGCATGTGAGATGTATGTGTTGAAAAAAGTGTTTGCACTTTAACACATGTTTAAATGTGAAAGATGGTACATGTAACCCTGTCTTCCCCACCAATTCTCTCCAAATCTAAGTTAACTTATGCCTCCCTCTGAAGAACAGTGTACAAAGCACTCACCGAGAAAATGAAATACATTCCAGCGTGGGTGGCTGAGAACAACTTACTCAGTCCAGTCTTCAGGGAGTGGGAGGATAACTTGGTGTGGCTCACCCTGTTACCTCCTTAGTAGACCACCTGTGCCAAGACCCCCCCTGTGGCCTATGAAAATCATGAAGCTGCCAGGCTGACCACTGGTGAGGTGGGTGACAAGTCTAGAAAGCCTGACTGCTCCTGATAGAGTAGTTTGGTCACTTTTGTAGGGCGCAAATCTATAGCTATTTATTTTATTGTTGAAAACTTTAACATTTATTGTAGGATAATCCCCTTTGCCAGAAACTGAGCTAAAGGAATGCAAAGTTTAATGAAAAATTAGGTAGCAAATTTGTTTATTGTTTTCAATTTATTATTACTTATGAACTTTAAATTTTATATTGGAGTATAGCCGATTAATAATGTTGTGATAGTTTCAGGT